GTCGAAGCCTGGGACAGAATTACTGCAGAAGTTTAGTGATGTTTGTAGCTCAGCTAAGTTGAAAGATTGGTTGTATGCCTCGTAGTTTGTACACTTGTGTTCTAGTTTCTGCTTTTCTATCCTTGCTTTGTATTTTTGGAAAGCGTCAGTATAGTGTGCCGAGCTACACACTTGTTCAAAGTGTGCACCCAGGAAGTTTGCCTGATCTTCCAAGCTGTCACTATGTGTGTTTACGAGTGGAAGTGTGTGCACTTGTCTTCCTGCTATTCTCCTAATCATGTTTCAGACTTCAGCCTCCTGTGTATATAAATTGATGCCTGATATAAAGTTGTGCCAACTTTTCTTTCCGGCCTGAAGGCGCGTCCTTCTGCCTTGAGACTTTACATTTTTAAAATTTGTAAGATTCTCCGCTGTTGGAGAGTCTCTAAGCAGCTTCCATGCTTTATTTTGCTTTCTACGTGCATTCCGACACTCACTGTTTCACCAAGGAACGTGTCGCCTGGTAGATCGTCCAGTTTATGGGATACACTTTGTTGCAGCATCAAAAAGAAGTGCTGTCAAGAAGTCTACTGCTGCATCTATACCTAATTGACATATGTCCAACCAACTTAATCGAGTAGCTTCTCTGAATTTTCCACAGTCCGCTTTGTCTGTCTGCCATCTGGGAACACATTGAGGACCTTTTTCTAGTGGTATACGTAGAATGATTGTAAAGCGATCACTTCTGAAAGGATTCTTGATCACTTTCCATTGAAGTGTACAAGCGATAGGGAAACAATGCTGAGATCTATGCGTGAGTAGGTTTTTTTGGCGAGGCTAAAGTATGTTCGCTCTTTCCCATTCAACAGACACGCACCCGAAGAAAAGAGGAACTGTTCGATTAGGCGACCTCGTGCATCGCAGCGAGAGTCGCCCCATAGACCATTATGTGCATTCAAGTTCCCAATGACCACATAAGGTTCCGGTAGTTCATGTATCAGTGACTGGAATTCGTATTTTTCGGGACGGTACTGTGGAGGTATGTAAAGAGAGCAGACGATGACAAGCTTGTTCAAAAGAACTGCTCGAACAGCCCCTGCCTCAAGGAATGTTTGTAGTGGTTGATGTGTACATGCTACGCCCTGATCAACTATAATGGCCACACCGCCAGATGACGCTACAGCGTCATTACGGTCCTGTCTGAATACTACATAATGACGCAGAAAATTGGTGTTCCTGTAACTTAAGTGTGTCTCTTGTACACACAGCACTTTTGGGGAAAGTTTGTGTAAGACTTCCTGGATATCGTCGAGGTTTCTGAGCAGTCCTATGACGTTCCATTGTATTATTTGTGTATCCATTATTAGGTAAAATGAGTGTTGTGTGTACTAAAGAAGTATTGCGTCAAGTCAAGAGCCCTTGTCAGGCACCGTAATGATGTTTTTTTTATTTTCTGGCGCGCTCCAAAGAGCCGCGCCTGTCCTTCGGCGCCGAAGACACCGTTGAACTTGCTGTTGTGTTCATTACCTCGGACGAGGTGCTTAATGCCCGCTCGCGGTTCAAGCGTGAGGGCACGGAAGTCTTAGGGCTATCTGTCGAGACAGAAGGCCCTGGGGATTCAGGTCCGTGGGCCTGCAAAGCTTTTGGTGGCAGAAGAACCTGTGCTACTTCCGCTGAAGGAACGAATGGCGCTGCCGCTCGTCGACTTTGTGTGGTACGTGCGGGCGCCATGGATTTCCGTGGCACTGCCCCCTTTCGTGCCACCTCCGCGAACAAAGAGCCCTGCATTAGCAGACGCTTGCGCGCCTCCCTAAACGAGATGTTTTTATTTACTTTCAGTGTGAGTACTTCTTTTTCGTGTTTCCGTGTAGGGCATGTGCGAGAGTAAGCGGGGTGTCCACCATTGCAGTTCGCGAAGGGGGTAGTGGCTTCTTCACATTCGTCTGTAGCGTGTTCGTGTAAACTACACACTGCACAGGTTTGACGGCCGCGGCAGCTCTGAGAACAGTGGCCGAATCGCTGCCACTTAAAACAGCGTCGGGGGTTGGGGATGTAGGGTCGGACCTTTAATTTCAAGTAGCCTGTTTCGATATATTCTGGGAGTATGCTTGTGTAAAATGTAAGAATGAGGTGCTTTGTCGGGGTTTCTTTGTTGTCACGCCTAATCTTAATTCTCCGCACATGCGTTACATACTGTTCATTCCAGCCTTCAAGGTGCTCACTCTCTGTCAGGTTAATTAGGCCTTGATCAGACACTACGCCTCGGGAACTGTTCAGGGAGCGGTGTGGTGTGATAGATACAGGTGTTGTTCCAAAAGAGATTAGTTTTGTCAAATTTTCATACTGGTTCTTGGTTTAGACTTCAAGCAAAAGGTCCCCACTACCCATACGTGTGGCCTGATACCCTGGACCAAGGGTACTGGTGAGGCATTTGGAAACGACAAACAAAGAGATGGTTCTTGCGTTCTTTTCTTGTGTTTCACAGTGGATGACATGGAATCGCGGGAAAATTTCTTTTGGCTTTATGAATACATTCAGTGCTGCTTCGGTGCGCCCCTTCTTAAAAGGAAGGCGATCAGACACTTTAGGAAATGAAAAAGAGGCCGTAAAGTATATATAAATTCGGCAACTATGCCAGCCACCTCCTATCGAGCCCAAGATGGGGACGCAACAGCACGATTATAAAGGCATGCCAGCGTTAGCTGTATAAAACCACTATAACCCAATAATATGTGACCAAGAGAAGGCACATACACAAGGTCAACCATTGCCGCCTGAAAGATGGAAGTAAACAGAAGTGAGAAGATGGCAGGAAATATTGAAAGAGAGAAAAGACGAAGATTAGGAGGGAGAGAAAGATAGGAAAAGGCAACTGCCGATTTCCCCTGGGTGGTTCAGCCCAGGAGTGCCGTCTACGTGAAGCCGGGGCCAAAGAAGTGTGTCGTCTCTGCCGGGGGGCCTTAAAGGTCCAATCACCCGGCGTCGGCTCAACCCCCAGGATCCCCTTTTCCCCAGACATGGCAAAGCCACGCACGGCTAGGCGTGGGAGGGAGTACAAACTCCCCCGTTAGCTCGGGTCCGTGGTGTCGCTACGCACCAAACGCCTATCGCAGACGCCCTTGCGGGGACAATCAATGCTTGAGGCGTAGCTTAAGTGTCCCCCAATTTTCACACATATCGGGGCGACACATCAATACGTAAGGGTTAGGTGGTGTTCCTTTACAAGAAAATGTAGATATAGGTAACTATAAAGACCGTAGTGTTCTTTACGTAGCACTGGAAATGCGACGCTATGCACGAAAGAGCCCTCTTCAGACAATATGACGCTGCCACTTGTAAGGATGGAAATGGTATGAGAACAGCATCACGGGTGGCCGCGGATGAGGTCAGGAGTGATGTAGTGTGGCCATCAGACGACATTTGCAGCGAAGCGCGCAGATACACAGCCGAGTTTCGTGCCTAGACATCCCCATAGGATATGGTACATAGAGGCTTCACAGTCGCAATGTCTGCACCTGCCTGTCGTGTATAAACCTGGGTGAGTATGAGCATCACAGCTTGACTCGAGTACAGAATAAGGTTTTATTGCGATAGCAATTATATGGACACTCTCGGTTGCATTTTGCCGCTGGCGTCGGCGTCGACATCGGTGTCAGCGTCACTCAGCGTATATGCATATATATATATATATATATATATATATATATATATATATATATATATATATATATATAATATATATATATATATATATATATATATATATACGATGATGCAAGAGAAAAAAATTGACCCCGTATCTGCAAGTTACACGATAGTCTTTCTCAAGACTATCGACTTTCTGGTTGCGCAGTCTACTTGCTGTACTCCAAAAGGAGAAAGGGACTGCTTGTGCGGCCACTCGAAGCTTGCTTGCAATTCGGTCCTTGACAGGAGTATTTTTGTAAGCGCGTTATTTTGAAGAGCTGATCAAGCAGAACTGTCAACGTGTTCATTGGCCATCACACCGCAGTGATTCGGAAGCCTCTGGAATGTCATGTGATGTCTTTCTTCGAACAAACCATGGAGGAAATACCTAAGCTGGAAGATTAACTGCTCCTATAGTCGAACAGCCTCGACCATAATTCATCTTCTATTCGAAGGCAGCCCTGGAATCCTCGCTTTCAGTTCTGTGGCAAGGCCAATTACTCAGGGGGAACAACAGGAGCATAGGAGTTTCATAATTTCGCAGTACGTTATTACGCCGCACACAGCTATATACCATTCAGTACCACTTTTTTTTCGATTTTTTATCTGTGTATTTGCAGTATTTGTCAAGCAGATTGCGGTATTTTTATTGGTTTCAAGGCTTAGCACACATCATGCCTAATCTGTACTAATGAGGAATAAACAATTGAATTAAATTAAAAAAACGAAGGATCGTTTTCTTTTTGTTATATACACCTTAATTTTGTGAATGTGAACCAAATAAAGCTGTTTCACTCACTCACTCACCTACGTTATGCCAGAGAATGCCGCAGATGCCACCTACGTTGTATGCTGTCGCTTAAATATGAGTATGTGAGCTCAACTATTGGTTGATTTATTGCATGGCTATCATAAAGCTGAGACCGGCCAAATACACACACTACCTAAAACATGAGTGCAATAGAACCGTCAGTTGCTCCTCACGTAAAAAAATACTTTTATATGGCAAGGTGTTAGCATTTTAAAAACTGTTCAGTGCGCCACGTGCGTGCTTTGTGTCGATGCATGAGCGCAGACTGAGTTTTCTAGTAATATTTTCAATCAACTGCACTTGCCATTGAGCGTCTATACAACCCATGGCATTTTCTTCTTTCAAGGGTATTCTACTCAATCTTCCCATAATGGAGGCGCCATGTGTACCGACAGTTTACTCTTGGGATCACCATTATAGTGCAACGCAACTGCACTGACGTGCTACAACGTGGTTAAACGTACGTCACCAATCAAGTTTATTTTGACCCGCATACTATCCAGTGCACCATAGGCATACTTACGAATCTCTCCAGTGGCCAAGTCGAAATCGAAGGCGTAGATTTGTCTGGGAACCGAGTCGTCGTAGAACATGATCCTGTTGTCATTCGTCCACGTGATGCCGTTTGAGATGGTCACCCCGTTCAACTTGTGCTCCAGCTGTCCCTTCGAGTAACACCAAAAGTTGTTTTGTGCGGTATCAGGTTCTGCACTCCCGTAGAGGGCATCGATCCTGCAATCGTCGTTGTCACATTCAGCAGCAGCCCGAAAATGATATTCCGGAGAGAATGTGGCCTATAATAAATGTTATACGCTTTCGCATCAATCTAACAGCTTCGAAAGAGATTCTGCGTGGAAATTTGTTGTGATAATTTTTCACATGTCACCTAAATGGAGCTTGAGGCGCTGCCTCACTTTAGAATAACGTAAACCAGTTGCTAGTTTGCGCAGGCTGTATTTATTTTCTACTTAAGATCCTAGATCCTCATAGCACATTCGTCTTCAACAAAGCCCGCAGCCTAAGTGGAACTGTTATGGTGCTCAGCTGCTGACCCCGAAGCTCGCTGCTTCGATTCGGGCCGCGGGGATCGCATTGCGATGTAGGTGAAATGGTAGATGCCTGTGCACTGTGCGATGTCAGCGCAAGTCAAAGCACATCAGATGGTCGAAGCCCTCCACATACGGTGTCCCTAATAGTCACATCATGACTTAAGGATGCAGAAGCCCAGATACTATTTGCAGTGTTTCATTCGCTTAACCGAGCCATGACAGAACGGCTACGAAGACGACGAGGACTAAAAAGCAATGTTATCTGACCCCATGTTGACGTTACCTGATTTCTCGCTACCCCTTGAATTGTGTACTGGTTCTTCTCACTATGAAACCGGGGCCGGGCCTTATAAACACCACATTGAGAAGCCCACTCGAAGGCAGCAGCAAATCATTTGATAATATTATAAACTCTTATACTTTTTCAAAAGCTAAGTCAGCTATGCAACCACTGAAAAGGAGACACTTGCTGTCGTAATGAAAATAAAGTACTTTAAAGGTTATCTCAAAGGCCAAAATTTTAAGCTTTTAACTAACTATCAGGCCGTGACACACCTGCATCAGCTGGCATTATCTTAAAAGGAAGACTGCCACGGTTGAAAAGCGGGATCCAGCAATATAGTTTTCAAGTTGTGCGTCTCCCAGGACTGAATCATCGGGACGCTCACGTATTCTCAAGATTGCACGTGCCGAAATACGCAGGCGACGAGAGCATGAACATGGCAACGCTGCGGGAAAGCAAACAAGAGTTAAAATTAAAGAACAGTCGAATACATGTATCCGAAACGAGTGTTCCATCAATTCTTAGAGTTTATCATAACAACCCAGAATCAGGCGGACATGATGGCTTTTGGAGGGCGTACCGAAGGCTTACACAAATATTCACTCGGAAGAACATGAAAGCGGATGTTGCTTGGTACATCAAAACTTGCCATGAATGTCAGATACACAAAGCCAAGTTCAAACCTAGAGGAAATCAGATGGTCGTGTATGTATATTGAAACGTTTCCTTCGAAGTATTCCCCCCCGACTTCACCGAGATAAAAATAAGGTGAGGGCATTAGAAAAACGCAAGCTTCTTTAGTGGCAGCAGATGAATGCACAAGGTTTGTTGCTGCAGAGCCAGCAACAGAGGATGCGAACTCCGTCATTCAGCTATTCGAAAGACACATCTTCAGGAATGCGAACGTTATAGCTGCTCGTAATGGACCAGAATTTAGAAGTGACAACCTTCGAATGTGGGCCCAGCAAAAGGGTGTCAAGCTTCGTTTTCCTGCTCCTAACAACCCGAAGCCGATTTACTCGTTGAAAGAATAATACGGGATTTGAAGACATTCATTTCTCTCTACCCGCAACTTAAAGGAGGATGGAAGTACTCACGTGAGGCAGCAGTTGCACATCACAATCGCTCTTACATAGTCAGAATAGGATGTAGTTCACATTTTTGCAACTTTTGGAACGAGTGCATGGCTTGCTGCTGATAAAAAACTGGGCATCGTCGGCTGAGTGTCACTTCGAGAAACACCATTATTAGCAAAACAGTGGATCAAGTACCACATGACTATGAAGGAAAACTTTGGCAAACGCTACCTGTCAAAGATACCGATTATTACGCCTAGAGACATGGTTTTGGTGCGTAAAGGCACGAGTGCAAAGTCTCCATTCATCGGTTCGTACAGAGTGCTTAAAAGGGCAGAACAACAACGAATGTTGAAGACAGTGTACTACGAAGGCTTGAGAAGGAAAACTGAAGAGGCTTCAATAGGAAGTGTTTTTCCTTACCATCACAGGAGGGATCACTGGGAGGACATAGCGTCTCGTGCACTTAACCGAGCCATGACAGAACGGCGACGAAGATGAAGAGGACTAGTATTGCGCGAGGGACAATATGAGGAAAAGGAATAGAAGAAAGAAGACGTGATTGTAGTTATGTAGCTTTAATATCGAAGGCGCACGGCTTTCGAAGACTTCTGCGTTATCATATTTAAGGAATATGTAAAATTAGTCCCAGTGACGAGTCGATTTTTGAAATTCTGCGATGTCAGTGGGTTTTTATTTTATTTTATGTTATTTGAGCCGCGGATACATAACCATAAAAAATGGTGGTTATCACCTTCGATCCGTCTTACGTGAATACATGAGAGACCTCGTAATTTTTATGCTCGTTTTTTGTGTGCTGAAGCTGTGATACTTCGGGTTTGTCATAGTGAAGGGCTCTGAAATTTTCGATCACTTGAGGAGCTTTATTGTGCACCTAAAGTTAACGCACCTTTATTGTATTAGCTTCCATGGAAAATGCCACCGCCGAGGCCATGGTCGAACCCTCGACTTTTGGGACACTGCGCGATTATCATAGCCCTACAATGGTTTGATTTTAATGTCATGTTTTCTATGTAGAAGTCACAGCATAGGAAACGAATAACGCCTTTAACCATCGGTCACACCAAAACCAGCGAACGGTAGTCTCAAGCACCTACTTCCAATTTTTATAGGCCGTGCTTGGCTTGCCTTTTTATGAGCGAAGCCGTTATCACCCATCAATATATATACACTTCGCTTCGTGGCCGCTTATCGACGCCTGCTTATCTTCCTACGTTAAGGCGCGGGGAACAGTGTCGTCATAGAGGACGTTTTGGATGTGTATAGAAAATGCGTCGTTTCGTGCGTCAGTTTTGGTTTCGCCTGCTAAATTAGCCGAATTTCATCACTCCGCGGCGATTACCAGTGGCCGCCTTTGGAAAATTTCAAAGCGGCAATGAATTATTCGCAGGAAAGACTTCAATTCGACTCTTGCAATTTACGCTGGGCAAAACTATAACTGCTCAAATTTTCATAATTTCTGCTTCAATTGATGGTTGTGTGAATCTGTTTTCTCTTCTGCCACAGTGAAGAGAACGCCGAAGATATCAATCAGATGCCTCTTTTCTGTAAGTTTTACGTAATATAGGACACAATTCTTGAAACACCCTGTATATGGGCAAATAAGTACTCATAGCAAGTAATAGGTTATCCAAAGCAACGCTGTTCAAGAGCTAAGTGGGTAAAATAATAATGTTCCGGAGTACAAATAACCTTGCATTTTCTAATATTTAGTTTCAAATTCATATTCTGGACCCTGTGTTGCAGTGACTCTGTGTATTAGTATAAGTTGAGTTCATATGTAAAGATAGTTATGCAGGATACAGTTCTTCAGACAGCCCAATTTTGAAATCTTTTCCATGAACTAGTCAGTTGTTCTACGACAAATGTCTAAGCAGATTTATCTTGAAGCCACACACCTAAAGTGATTAACTATATTTATCCTGAAAACACACCAGCTTCGATTTAGTGCTGATCTGTTTTTAGCGGGGGGGGGGGGGGGGGGGGGGTTCAGTCTTTGGACTTTTCTGTTGTTTCATAGAAAATTAAAAGAGAACTGGCAACTAAAAGTGCCTAAACGGAAGGTTAATATAGCCTAACGTAGCCATGGTGCCAGCCTTAAGTTTTCGTAGGCACACGGGGATCCTAACGTAGCCGATTTGGCCGAAAGTAGCCACCAGCAGCAACCATAGTGACAGGTGACTCCACTTTGTCTACGTCAAAGCAAAACCTGTGGTATCATCCAAGAAGACCACGTCAATGGCCTAAGGTCAACCAGCCTCACTGATTCTCAAGTTTTGCACGGCTTGTGTAAACAACCCTCTTTTTAAAACAATAAAGCGTGAGCGTTGACTCTCGATTGGAAACGGTAGCACCTCATATACGCGAGAAATAACGGGATTGCCCACATGATTCCCAAGCGCAGATCGAGTGTACGCTCATGTGCGAGCAGCGTATACAGCACCGTTTGCTTAGAAATTCCTACACACTAGCAGCATTAATTACCTGTGTGGTCATGTGTTCAGAAAAGTGGTGTGACGCTGAGTGTCGTATATCGCTGAGCTCGCTGTTCCGCACCCAGAGAAACTAACTGTGTCCGGGGGTTCACGCTCGCATTATGTTATTCACCCATTCCCGGCCATCCACGGGCGTAGTTGTGAGATTTTGTTCCAATATGACCGGTGAAGGATAGATTCGTCCTAGTTGTGGTTATTTGTCCTAGATCTACAGGGTCAATTTTTATGAAAGGTGACACGGGAGCGCATGGCCTGCACGCTCCGGCGGCGACTGGCAGCGCGTTCAAGCGGCAACGAGAGCAGCCACACTCTTTGGTCACGTCATCTCGTGGCGAGGAAAACAACCACTCGGTGCTAATATGGGACCAGCGGAAATATTTCGACCCCCTCCCACTTCAAGGCGATAACGCGAGAGCTGGAAATCGCCTTGAAGGGGGAGAGTTTGTAAGCTCGCCGTTCTATGTCAGCAACGAATGGTTCTTTTGGTAGCCGCGAGATGACGCGACAACAGAGTGGTTGCTCTCGCTCCCGCTTAAACGCGCTGCCAGCCGCCAACGGAGCGCGCAGGCCACGCGTCGCCGTGTTCCCTTTAATAAAAATTGACACTGTACATACACAGTTTTACATGTTGTGCCTTTTGTGCCTCGGCTTTCATTGCTATCTTTTTGACGCACCTAGTTAAACAATAAAGAATATTGAATTAAAATAACACGGTCGTTTTTTTTTTAAATCTACAAATTGAGCCACCAAGACTTCTGGTAAACTTGGCACTTTTATCTTCTTTTCTGAAGATAGCAAAAGTGTTCAAAACTGCAACGTGGTACTTCGCAAATGTTGTGGTAGGGCAAAATACGCTCCAAGTTTAGAATCTCCCCACGTTTTCTCCTTCTTACCTGTCCATAGGCGTCCCAGTGCATCGCACTTGCCGTCATTTAGCCTGGACTTCACTGGCGACTGGGAGTCAATCATTTTCACCAGCAACTCCTTCTCGCGGGTGCTCTGGTCAAGTCGATACAGGTTGTTTTCCATGCAGAGAGCTAACTGGCGGTTGTCTTCGGCAAAGGGGATAACGTTGCCGATGTGCCCTTCTGCAATAAAGCAGGTAGTTCAGAACCAATCACCCGTAGCACGTCAATGACCAATGTCGCAAGCTAACGGGGACAAATTATGAGATTATACATTTGTCAAAACATTTTGCAATATTATCAAAATAATTCGGAATTCGCTAACCATGTTTCTGAATACTATCGTTATCGGACGTATTTTTCGGCCCACGCGTATCAATCTAGTTAAACAAGCATTTGCAAAGCCTCCTTTGTCGAAAACAACGCGGAGGATATTTGAAGAAACGCAGCAGTGCCTTGAGATAGAGGAAGGTGCTTCGCCTGAGCTAGGCTAAGTCTATGAGAACCATTGAGCGAATGTGCGCGTTTAAAAATATGTGGGGGTTAGGCCCACCTGTTCGATTCAGTGTCACAGCATACGGCAGCGCACACCAGGTTACAAAAAGAACACGCACAAGAGGGTCGACACAGGCACTGAACTTCAACTGATTTTCATTGCAAAAACGAATAGCGAGTTCGTTGTTTTACACATGACGTGTACCTATTGTAACAATCAAAACCAAGAGCACCCTTTGTGTAGCAGCAACCCATTCACTTATAAATGTGTCGTTACAGTACTAACGGTATCACGTGTTACACTGTTATTACTGCCACAGTAGTCGAGAGTTCGACGGAATGCCGTCTGGTCAGGTAAAGGCATTGTTGAAAAAACAGGTCACTGACCAATGTCAAACAAAACAATGACGTTTCGGGACCCGTACGGGTCCCTTGTTCACAATGGAATGACGGCTGAGCAACAGGTGCTTATGTAACGTTGAGCGCATGACGCAAAGTCCGGGAGTACACGTGGTTTAGTGTGCCAGATGATCTATTGATTGTGTTACTTGTCGTCTGAATGATTAGTGATTCGAGGTTCAGTCTGGTTGTAAAATTCTTCTCCGTGGCTACGATGCGTGCGTTGTCCCAGCTTATCTCGTGGCCCGTCTTCTCGGCATGCTCTGCGAGTGCATTTGTCAATGTGTGGCCCTTGGTGACGTCATTCTTGTGTTGCATAAGACGTTTGCAGTAATTTCCACTCGTGCCAATGTACACCGATTCGCAATCGGCGCATGGTATCTTGTAGACCACACCAGGAAAGTGTTGCCGAGGGAGAGGATCCTTCACATTTAGCAACTCAGCCTTAAGCTTGCTTGCTGGAACATGCGCGATCTGTACACCATGTTTTCTGAATAGACGAGCTAGGGCTTCGCTTATATTTGGAATATAAGGAATCGATGCACGCTTTTTTGTAGACGATGTGTTATGCATGGCCTGACTAGTTGACTGCAGTTTATGCATGACGGATTTAGTTGTTTTCCTAATAAAAATCTTGGGGTATCCATTCTTGATCAGGTCATCTTCAATGATCCGGAGCTCCTCCTGCAGGCTTTCTTCATCGGAACAAGTGCGAATCGCTCGTTGAACTAAAGACCGAATCACTGAGCGTTTGTGGGCTACCGGGTGGACTGACTCGTAGTCGAGGTATCTACCGGAGTGTGTTGGCTTTCGGTACACAGCGAAGGCGAGGCCTGTGGGAGTACGTTTTACAACTGCATCCAAGAAAGGGAGGCAACCGTCTTTTTCTTCTTCCACAGTAAACTTGATGGAAGTCTCGACGCCATTTAGGCAGTCAAGGAAAGCTTGGACGTCTTTCTTCTTTATCACGCAGAAGCAGTCGTCGACGTATCTCAGAAAAACCTTGGGTCTCGGCTGAAATGTTCCCAATGCTTTCTGCTCAATTGCTTCCATTGTGATATTCGCAGTTGTGACCGAAATCGAAGCTCCTTTTTTTTCTGAGATACGGTTTTTCTGAGATACGTCGACGACTGCTTCTGCGTAATAAAGAAGAAAGACGTCCAAGCTTTCCTTGACTGCCTAAATGGCGTCGAGACTTCCATCAAGTTTACTGTGGAAGAAGAAAAAGACGGTTGCCTCCCTTTCTTGGATGCAGTTGTAAAACGTACTCCCACAGGCCTCGCCTTCGCTGTGTACCGAAAGCCAACGCACTCCGGTAGATACCTCGACTACGAGTCAGTCCACCCGGTAGCCCATAAACGCTCAGTGATTCGGTCTTTAGTTCAACGAGCGATTCGCACTTGTTCCGATGAAGAAAGCCTGCAGGAGGAGCTCCGGATCATTGAAGATGACCTGATCAAGAATGGATACCCCAAGATTTTTATTAGGAAAACAACTAAATCCGTCATGCATAAACTGCAGTCAACTAGTCAGGCCATGCATAACACATCGTCTACAAAAAAAGCGTGCATCGATTCCTTATATTCCAAATATAAGCGAAGCCCTAGCCCGTCTATTCAGAAAACATGGTGTACAAATCGCGCATGTTCCAGCAAGCAAGCTTAAGGCTGAGTTGCTAAATGTGAAGGATCCTCTCCCTCGGCAACACTTTCCTGGTGTGGTCTACAAGATACCATGCGCCGATTGCGAATCGGTGTACATTGGCACGAGTGGAAATTACTGCAAACGTCTTATGCAACACAAGAATGACGTCGCCAAGGGCCACACAGTGACAAATGCACTCGCAGAGCATGCCGAGAAGACGGGCCACGAGATAAGCTGGGACAACGCACGCATCGTAGCCACGGAGAAGAATTTTACAACCAGACTGAACCTCGAATCACTAATCATTCAGACGACAAGTAACACAATCAATAGATCATCTGGCACACTAAACCACGTGTACTCCCGGACTTTGCGTCATGCGCTCAACGTTACATAAGCACCTGTTGCTCAGCCGTCATTCCATTGTGAACAAGGGACCCGTACGGGTCCCGAAACGTCATTGTTTTGTTTGACATTGGTCAGTGACCTGTTTTTTCAACAAATACTGCAACAGTATTACCAGTAACACTCTTTTATTTTCTTGTCCATATTTTGTTGCTCTTGCATAAGTGAACTGGTTGCTTCCACGATAGGGTGCTCTTGCTTTCGATTGTTTTAATAGGCACACGTCACGTGTGAACAACACGTGAGTTGCCACCTATACTACTTAAGCGATTCTTTCTCGTAATAAAAATAAGTTGAAGTTCAGCGCTTGCGTCGTTCCTTTGTGAGCGTGCCTTTGCAAAACCTGGTGTGTGCTGCCATATGCAGTATTATACTAACTAGCCCGCCAACAAGTTTTAAGCAAACCAATATCCAGAGCACTACAATAGAGAGCTGTGCAAGTGCATTCGAAGCTGCAAGCAGGATTGCTAGGCCAATCCATACGTAATACCCGTATAGTGGGTGAATGATTGTAACCCCCCCCCCCCAAGGTTTCCCTCTAATAAATATTGCGCAATACTGTGGTCCTTGGCGCTCTTGATATCGGCGCTCTAAGGATCAACTTTGCCGCGTGTTCGCAATCTAACTTGGCGAATGTTTGCAGGCTGACGAGTAGGCTTACCCGTAGGAATTACTTGCGTCTCCACGCCAGAAGCGGGATCATAGCGCACCACCTCCTGGCCGAGGCAGTCGACGAATAGAAGAGTCGAACTGCGCTCGTCCCAGTGTGGCCCTTCGCCCAGAAGGCTCCTCCGTGTGCTGGCCACTTCGAGCTTCATTTTTGCGTGCTAGATTAAGGAAAAGGCCGCGGCTTACGTTACTCTCCAAGTAAGCAAGCTTAAGCGAAATCGAGATCACAACCTCGTCATTATAAAAAAGGCAGCTGTATGACTTGCTGAATGAATCTGACCTGATGATGGTGTGCGAGTGCCTCGAAGCATCGCGAAGTTCGATTACCCATTTTCAGGGAACCCGTCACCACGTCTTGATAGGGATAATGGCAGGGGACGCTAGCTAAAAGCAATCGTTGACCCAGTCTTACCTTTGCCTCTTTCTCTTAAATTGTCTTGTAAATGCAACGTGGCAATAAACAAAAGAAAACAATTTAGTTGGGATTTATGGAAGTTTAACGCTAAACTACTGCGGGATGACATTTTTAATAATTTTGTGATTGAGAGAATTAAGAACATTAAGTGATCTGAGCCTGTAATGTTGGCGAGAAATGAAGCTTTTGAAGCAAAGCGTTAAAATGAAAGCCATATGGAGATCTAGTACTTTAAGATATCAAGAAAGAATGAAAGAAAATGAACTCAGAACAACGCTTAAGAAATTGATAGCATTAGAAAGCAAGGCGTCCGATGCATATAAAGAAGATATTCGAACGGTGAAACGACAAATTGAGCTAGTAGAGCAGGAACGCTATAAAGGAGCCCTTATTCGAGCGAGAGCAGAGGCGTGGGCTATGGGGGAGACTCCTACCAAGCGCGCACTTGGAATCGAGAAATCACGAGCGCGTCGTAATCACATCGACGAAATAGAGGAAAATGGAATTCTGCTAAATACTAACAGCACTATCGCTGAAGCTTTCTTTCGGTATTACAAGGGTCTCTTCGCAGCCGCATTAGTAGATGTTACGAAGTTCAAGGACACTTTCTTGAGCCGGATGCCGCAATTATCCCTCGAAACGAAAGAAGCGTTAGAGAGGCCTATAACCATTTCTGAAATTGAATATGCAATAGATAGTCTCACCGCTGGGAAGTCGCCGGGGCCTTACGGTCTCGGTGCGATGTCGTATAAAGCTTTTAAAACAGAAGTTTCACCAGTGTTACAAGCTGTGTTCAAGGAAGCCTACGCAATCAAAGCGTTACCACCTTCATTTGCCGAGACGCACACTATTCTAATACCTAAGACGGATGACAAAGCAAAATTAAAACTAGTTTCGTCATATAGGCCCATTCCGCTAACCAACATTGACTACAAAATACTCATGAAAGTATTAGCAGGTATATTGCAGTCCGTAATCACCGGAATAGTTGGGGAGCACCAAACGTGTGGCATCAAGGGGCGCTCAATATTGATGAACACACACACAATGCGATGTGTCCTTGAGAGTTGCGATGCTATTAATTCTCATGTTGCGATCCTCCAGCTTGATTTAGAAAAGGATTTTGACTGCGTTCCGCAAGATGTGTTATTCTCTATACTTGAACATGTCAATGTCGGATCGGTGATTACAGAGGGCATAGTTTTGGCGTATAAGAACTCTACTACACGACTAATTATTAACAAGATTCCGGGGGCTCCCATTAGGCTCGAACGTTCTGTACGCCAGGGATGTCCGGCAAGTACACTCTTGTTTGCATTGTACATAGAGAGCTTATGCTAGGCCATAATAGAAAACAAGACCATCCGTGGTTTCAGACTGCTTGACGCCGAGGTAAAGATTTTGGCATACGCTGATGATGTAGCAGTGTGTTGCACCACCAAAGAGAGTGTACAAGAGACAGTTGCCGTTGTTAAAAACTTTGGAGAAAAAACAGGAAGTCGGGTTAATTGGGGAAAGTGTCTGGGGTTTTGGCACAGAGACTGGACATCAACCCCAGATACCTATGCTAACGTTCACTGGTTTAATACTCCACTACAATATCTAGGCGTGCCTTTCCAGCACTACAAAGACACCAATGATTACTGGACTGAACAAATAAAAGAAACGCGCGAAAGGACAGCGCAGTGGAATGGCAACTGTCTCTCAATGTTTGCCAGAGCCACTGTATGCAACATATTTTTAATGAGCAAATTATGGTATGTGATGCAGGTTTTGTGTTGCTCATGGGTGCATGTGCAAAAGCTGTATAGGATATTTTGCTGTGTTTATATGGGGGTCTACTTGGGAAAAATGTAGTAGGACAAATCTGTTCCGAAGAGTAAAACAGGGGGGACTAAGCCTGTCACATCTGTTCGTGCGACCACTAGTTAATCGTTTTATTTTATTTTTGAGATGTTCGACACCCCTTCTTAAGAACAGTATGCCAGTTACGCCTTTGTCGTGTTCTGCCTAACTTTGTGGTTAGCACCGCAAGCATGCCGGGAGCTACGCGAGGTTTCTTTAAGGAAGTTGCAGACAGTGTCCGGTTCTTGTCAGTTCGGTTTTCCAATGAATACCTTTCTTCGGTCGGGCGAAATAAATTGCATAAAGACATATGCGACATGATTTTTCCAGTTCCTATGTATAGGTTAATTAATAGCGGGGGAGAAGGCAATGATGTTCTTAAGCGTGTTAAGAAAACGCAAATTCAGCCTAGTGCAAAAAGCTTTTTCTTTAAATGACACTCTGGAATACTACCGGTTAAGACTTTTTTTAGAAGATCATCATCATCATCATCATCAGCCTGACTACGTCCACTGCAGGACAAAGGCCTCTCCCATGTTCCGCCAGTTAACCCGGTCCTGTGCTTGCTGCTGCCAATTTATACCCGCAAACTTCTTAATCACATCTGCCCACCTAACCTTCTGTCTCCCCCTAACCCGCTTCCCTTCTCTGGGAATCCAGTTAGTTACCCTTAATGACCAGCGGTTATCCTGTCTACGCGCTACATGCCCGGCCCATGTCCATTTCCTCTTCTTTATTTCAACTATGATATCCTTAACCCCCGTTTGTCCCCTAATCCACTCTGCTCTCTTCTTGTCTCTTAAGGTTACACCTACCATTTTTCTTTCCATTGCTCGCTGTGTCCTCCTCAATTTAAGCTGAACCCTCTTTGTAAGTCTCCAGGTTTCTGCTCCGTAGCTAAGTACAGGCAAGATACAGCTGTTATATACCTTCCTCTTGAGGGATAATGGCAGTATACCTGTCATAATTTGAGAGTGCTTGCCGAATGTGCTCCACGCCATTCTTATTCTTCTAGTTACTTGAATCTCGTGGTTAGGCTCTGCGGTTATTACCTGCCCTAAGTAGACATAGTCTTTTACAACTTCAAGTGCACTATTACCTATCTCGAAGCGCTGCTCCTTTCCGAGGTTGTTGTACATTACTTTCGTTTTCTGCAGATTAATTTTAAGACCCATCTTTCTGCTCTCCTTGTCTAACTCCGTAATCATGATTTGCGATTCGTCCCCTGAGTTACTCAGCAATGCAATGTCATCGGCAAAGCGCAGGTTACTAAGGTATTCTCCATTAACTCTATTCCCTAACTGTTCCCATTCTAGGCTTCTGAAAACCTCCTGTAAGCACGCGGTAAATAGCATTGGGGAGATTGTGTCCCCCTGCCTTACACCCTTCTTGATTGGTATTCTGTTGCTTTCTTTATGAAGCACTATGGTAGCAGTTGATCCCCTGTAGATTTCTTCCAGAATGTTTACATATACTTCATCTACTCCCTGATTCCGCAGTGTCTGCATGACGGCTGATATTTCTACTGAATCAAACGCCTTCTCGTAATCTATGAAGGCTATATATAGTGGTTGGTTATACTCTGAGCATTTCTCTATTACCTGATTGATAGTATGTATGTGGTCAATTGTTGAGTAGCCTGTTCGAAATCCTGCTTGTTCCTTTGGTTGATTGAATTCCAATGTTTTCTTTACTCTGTTAGCAATTACCTTTGAAAATAGCTTGTATACTACAGAGAGCAAGCTGATCGGCCTGTAATTCTTCAAGTCCTTGTCATCTCGTTTCTTATGTATTAAGATGATGTTAGCGTTCTTCCAAGACTCTGGTACCCTTCCCGTCAGGAGACACCTCGTAAACAGGGTGGCTAGTTTTTCTAACACAATCTGTCCTCCATCTTTCAGCAGATCTGATGTTACCTGAACCTCACAAGAAGCTTTGCCGCTTTGCATGCTCTCCAAAGCTTTTCTGACTTCTTCTATCATTACTGGTGGGGTGTCATATGGGTTACTGCTAGTTCTTATAGTATTAAGGTCGTGTTTGTCTCGGATACTGTACAGATCTCTGTAAAACTCCTCCGCTATTTTAACTATCCTATCCATATTGGTAGTTATTTTGCCTTCTTTGTCCCTTAGTGCATACATCCGACTTTTGCCTATCCCAAGTTTCCTCTTCAATGCTTTGACGCTTTCTCCGTTTTTCAGAGCATGTTCCATTCTCTCCATGTTATACCTTCTCACATCGCATACTTTACGTCTATTATTCAACTTCGAAAGCTCTGCCAGTTCTATTTTGTCTGTTGTACTTGAGACTTTCATGATTTGACGCTTTTTAATGAGATTCTTCGTTTCCTGGGAAAGCTTGCCAGTGTCCTGTCTAACTACCCTGCCTCCAACTTCCACTGCACACTCCGTAATGATACTCGTCAGATTATCATTCATTGTATCTACGCTAAGGTTGGTTTCCTCACTAAGAGCCGAGTACCTGTTCTGTTCTGCAGCGACACTCTGAATTCCTGTACTTTCCCTCTCAGTGCTAGCTCATTGATTGACTTCTTGCGTATCAGTTTCTGTCGTTCCTTCTTCAAGTCTAGGCGAATTCGAGACCGTACCATTCTATGGTCACTGCATCGTACCTTGCCAACCACTTCCACATCCTGCACGATTCCTGGGTGTGCAGTCATTATAAAGTCTATTTCGTTCTTATTTTCGCCATTAGGGCTCCTCCATGTCCACTTGCGGTTTTCTCGTTTTCGGTAGAAGGTATTCAAAATCCGCAAATTATTGCGTTCTGCGAATTCTACTAGTAGCTCTCATCTGGCGTTTCTAGTGCCGATGCCATAATCTCCTACTGCCTGGTCTCCAGCCTGCTTCTTCCCTACCTTTGCATTAA